TGAGCTCGCTGAAGGTCTTCCTGATCTCTCCTCGTCTTCCAGTGATGTTCTTCTGCTCTTGAAGAGCACGTGCCACTCAAAACACCTTGAACGACTCATTGTCAAACATCACTGTGGTAGATTTGCCCAGTTTCATGCAGAATTTCGCGTTTGCTCTTTGTACTAACTTGCTGTCCATGATGAAATAGCAGACATGGTAATGCACATGATCAGAATAGCACCAGTTTGCACAGCTCCTGATGTACACAGGACAATGCCTTTTGGCATACTGGCTTATGAAGGTTGGTGCTCCCTGTGACTGTGCATGCAACCTTGTGTTAGAAAACTAGTCTCAAAACTTTTTGATACCACCTCGTATGTTTCAGCCCCATTACATACATTGTAATATATATATATATATATTATATATATATATATATATATATATATATATATATATATATATATATTTATTTATTTATATAGCTATCACCAAGTCTATACATACATATTATATGTAAATACTGACCTTCCACTACTAGTTTAGGCCTCATCAAATAGAGTTCCTATTCCTAAGTGTTAATTCTTTTGTAGTCGTCAGTAAACCACTGCAACCAATCAGAATTCACTCTGCTGAAATCAGAACTCTACAAAATGAATTCTAATTGGTTGCCATATGTTACTGCAATTATTAGCACATATCTCTTAATTTAAAATGGTCCTTAATGCACTCATGGCTACTGGCTTTTCTTTCCTTCTAGTGTCAGTTTTGATTTGTTATAAAGAATACTTGGGAATGTAAATCACCAACTTTAGAGATAATTTTTCCAGTTCTAAACCCCCCCAAAAAATGGATACTGGAAGATTTCTTCATACCTGGGCAAACAGATATTTAATTTATAGGTTAGTTTGAATTGTCTACATTTCTAATCTAAATTTCACTAAGGGACATTGTTTAGCTAGGCAAAATACTATAAGAAGGAATGCAATGAGCAGTTTCAACCTTTATATTTTGTTTTCAATAATTTCATGCAAAATCTGCTAGTGATGGTTTTAATTGTGATGGATATAAAAAAAAAAAAACTTAACAGAGTTATATTTGGGTGTTTAGGTTCCAGATTATATTAGATCTATGATCTGCATTTCAACTATCTCCACCAGTACACAATCAACATACTTCTAAGTATGTGTTGGCAAGATAAAGCTCACTCAGATCATGAAATTATTATTCAGCAGAATTAGTATATAGAGACAAAAAATATGGTGGTTAATTGTCAGACAAGTAAGCTAGATAAGTTGGAAGGTATGTTTCTGTGAATTGAAGCTCCGGAATTGACAAGGATACAGTCCCTTCCTGGAAAGAGGATCTTGTGGCGAACCATTTCTCCCATAATGCATCCCACAGACCAAATATCCACTAAAAGTGCAGAAACAAGGCCATTAAGACGTGGAAAGAGGAAAAAAAGCAAGGTTAGCAAGGAAGGTAAATTCCTAAAGCATGGAGGGGAAGAAGCAGATTAAATGGCATAAAAACATGTTATCCCCACCCCCCCACAAAAACATATTTGGGAACACTAATAAAAACTGGCTTTCTAAACATGTTGAAAACCCACACCAGCCAATCTGAATTCTTTCTAAATACAGCAAAAAAAAAAAAAAAGAATGTGATTGAATGCTATGGGTCTTGGAGCTATCACTCAATGTGCCAGTTTTCATAAGCATTTCCTTCTACTTTAATTAAAATAAACAGGCATATGATAGCAGCAAAATAGCAGCTCAAAGAAAACAATTCTGTTAACAAAATACTCCTTTTAGCAAACAGGTGAGCAGATTTTAAATGCCACCTTGCAATTGTACAGATGGGGATAAGTCAGAACTGAAGAGAATGAAAAGACTGAAGATGACAGTCAGAAAATAAGCAATAAAGTGCAGTAGAATGATGGATGTGAACAGATCTTAATAAGGACATGTCATTTTCTGAATTCATTTATAATGAACATGATTAGACTAAAATAAATATGATATGATGGAAGCGCGGGACAGCTTTATTTCAGTCATATCAAATGTTTCTAATATCTGATTATTACAGAAAAAAAGAGAAACATAAATATAAGCAAAAAGTACTGCTGTCCTTGCAAAATAACCACTATGTATAAAACTCACATCATGCCTTTAAGGGATTTATTCATCAATGATTTGCTGGTGAAATTCACCCAGTGAAAAAATAGCTAAAGTAAGATTTAAATGGATTAGCCCTGCATTTTCAATTTCAGTATGCATCCTATGTATTATATAACATTTCCTGGGCTAATCTTGTTAGTTTGAATCTTGCTAGGGTAGATCTTGATAGTACAGTGGCACTATTTTTCACTAATCCTTGTGGCAATGTTTTGGGAGAATCTAGTTAAATAACGGCGCTATATAAGTACCTGAAATAAATAATAAATAAATAAATAACAGAAAAGCCTTTTTGTGCATTATCCAATATGCTTTCCATGGTGCAGAATCTGTCTGTACAGTATACACAGTTTTAGCAGTAGGAGGGTTATTATCTTTTATTAAAAAAAAAAAAGAAAAGAAAAAACATTTTTGTCTCCCCATCCCCAAACAAATTAGACATGCACACCAGGCATGCATGCCTGTGTCCCCATAGTTAGGGAGTGGTAAATGTGCAGCCCCTGCTATGTGAAAACCAGTCCACATGCCCCTCAGCATTAGGGCTGCTTTGAGGCCCCCCCCCACAAATGTGACCCCCTCCAAAGCAGGATGCTGACTAGCTCTCCTGGTGCTCCAGAGGGGATGTCAGCAAGAATGGTGAGGCTTGTGTTCTTTTGACCCTTACCAGTCCACCAACATGCACAAGCAAGCAAAAGTTTTAAAAAAAAAGCCACCACACACAAAAGAAAACATTTATTTTTTAGGACGAACATCAGGTAAATTTCTTGTCAAATCATTGATAAATGCACCCTTAAATGTATTAAAAGAGTAAATAAATAGAAAATCATATAATAGGTCATACTGAATGCTCTTACAAAGCACCTAGCTAATTATAATTAATTGCATTATTAATTAATTGCTGTTGCCACGGTTGCTATAATTAGTTACTATAATTAATTTCTACAGCTGCATTTCTTCTAATGCAGGGGTAGGCAACCTTAAAGAGGTGGAGATCTACCCGGATAACATTGGACAATTCAAAGATCACCGGGCACAGTGTCGGCCAGTGTCGGATTTAAACCTCTAATTGCCATTCTACTGTGTCATAGTCGTGTGCTTTCCATGGCTATCATGGGTTTAAATCAGGTGGTGAGGAGGCAACATACTGCCTCCTCACCACCTGTCAAACACACTTGGATCGTTTTGCAGAGGAGCAGTAGTACCTGCTGCACTTGTAAATGAGCCCTTAGTTGCATCCAGCAGCGGCACTCTTAGGGCTTGTTCACATGTAAAGTTTGTGCGTGGTAGAACCCTGCAGTTGAGCCATGGTTTTGCTGCCCCCAATCCCTACCCTCTTTAGCTGTTGCAGCAGGAATTACACCCCTTTTTGCTTTCGGTGGGTGCTACCACCTGTCAGTCGAGACTTTTTCAAGTAAATGGGGCCACTCTGCAAGTGTCTCACAACTGAATGCATCTGCGGGGTTCAAGGGGTTAAAGCATGTGGTGAGAAAGCAACGCACCGCTGCCTGTTTAACCCCAACCATGACAGGGTGTAGGAGTCAGCACTACAGAGGAGACATCAACTTATGCAGCTCTTCCTCCCTACTACAGCTCCAAATTTACAATTAGTCCCTCTACAATGCACTCTGGATGGCGGGTGAGCAAGGCCTGACTGTGATCAGTCACATGGCCGAGATCTACTGGTTGCTAACCCCCATTCTAAGGGGTTTCTTTTAAAGTTAACTTGTGTTAAGTTTGCACATGTGCCATGACCCAGTTAATTCCTATGGATGGTCCATGCTCTATGAGTGTGGGCCATCCATATGAAGGAAAGATGTGTGTGCACTAGGACCAAGTCTGGGATGCTTTACGTGCATAGACTGTATGGCACTGGGCAGAGCTGCCCAGGAAAGAATCTGGGATTGGAAATGAAGGTAAATATTTTAGTGTGCTAGCCACACTGAGGTGTGTAGGGGTATATTTAAAATACCTCTTCACTCAAACTGCAGTTGTCCTTTAAGAAGCCAACATGACTATTTCAACCTGCTCTATAACTGCGATCTTGATTTACATGTGGCAGATTTGCCTTAAAGAAGGTGTCCAAGACCAATTTAGCTGTACCACAGCATGTAGAAAGTAGGAGCTGTGTACTCTGGAAGCTAGTTACCATTCTTACTGGTTTGAAAATACAACACTTAAAACACAAAAGAGCAGGTGAGTCATGCTTGACATATAGCTGTCATTATGACAATGCTCTACAAGGTGACATACAGAAGAAAAGCTACTGTGCCATACTTAATTGTACATTCAGTGCTTAGTCACATCCTATTTATGATAACACTCAGACTCTTATTACAGCCTTAGCCAGGTTTTCTTGTTTTCTTCGATTCTATGTTTTTTGCAATGTGCAGTGCAGAAGCAATTATTTAAAAAATCATTGTATTTGCCTTATACCCACTACAACTTGTATAGTAGAAGATTGTTAAAACCAAGGATTATTTGTATAGGGAATGAAGAAGTAACCAATCCATTTTCACATTTTCTAAATAACAATGAAAGATACTTGCTGATTCCTTACTTTGGATTACTGAACTTTACACATTCTGGTGTACTTTATCAAATCTGCTCAAAATTAGCCATCCACCTCACAGTCTGATCCTAAAATATTTGTACAATCTCTTTTTGATTTACCAGTTAGTATGTCGTGTAATGGCCTACCTACTGCATCTTACAGGGACTAATAATTTTCTTTTCTTGAACCACCATGTTCTACTCTTGTCCACACAGTTTATTATAGCAAGCAAAATTATTTTCTTCCAATCCTTTTAAATTTACCAACAGACTGTGTCTAAGGCACAGCCTACCATTTTCCTTGTATCCCATTCCAAGAATGACCTCCGGTGCTCTGTAATAACGTGTTACTACATAGGGAGTCATCATGAAGCTAGTGCCAGCCGTCCTTGCCAATCCAAAATCGAGAATCTTCAATGTGCAGTCTGATTTCACAACTATATTACTTGGTTTTAAATCCTGTTTGGGAAATAGAAGTGCATTAATGTATTATTGTGCTATTTTCAGAAATATACAGAAAAGACTCATACACTGTCAGGGGCGGACTGACAACTCATGGGGCCCCCGGGTAATAGGGGATCATGGGGCCCCTGTGTCCTTGCCCAAACTCAAAAAAGCCCATGAAAAAGGTACCAGGGGCATCTCATAGGGCCCCCTACTGACCCCGGGCCCTCGGGCAGTGCCCGAGTTTCCAAATGGTCAGTCCGCCCCTGTACACTGTTCACCTCTATGCAGCATCTCACAGTTTTCATTCTGCCCATACATGTTAATATTCAAAGCTGAACTAGAATAATACAAATAAAATGAATAGTCCATTAAAACATAAAATAAAAATAACTAAATGACTCCATGTAACTGATTTACCAAAGTAGGAGAGTATGTTCACCTTTTAATGTAAGTTTCCACTTTACATGGTAATTTTTGCTTAGCTTAGTGAATGTGATGAAAATCCATTTTGCAAAGAATACCCAATCACGTGAAACGACAATTTAAAAAAATTGTTTTTTTTGCTTGCAATTGATTGGATGATTGAAGTCAGCAGAGTGTCAGCTCATTTAGTAAGCTAAGGAAAAATTCCTTTAAAGTGAAAATTCACTTTGCTTAGTTAACAGCCTATACTCCTTTAGTAAATCAGCCTCCATTACTCAGTGTGATAATATCTTGTTATCTGTGGATAGACAACTTTTTTCTGCCAACTTTCAAAATGTATTGTAAACTCATACCTTTATTTCTTTCATGTATTTATTTATTTTTATGTGTGCCACTGGGGAGACTATCACACTATATCCCTTCCCCATGACTTTCCCTACCCAGTCATCCCTCTCCATCTCAGAACCTTACAATCATTTGGTTTCCCCTTAGTTTGTATATAGTTAGAAACTGACCAACATTAGCCCCTTTTTTTCTACTACCTGCTTTTGGACCATAACACCCCAACAGAGTCCTACCACTAGGCGCTTTTGAGTAATATTATCATTGTTCCCTTCTCCACTCTGCACCCTGACAGGCCCATCCACTTTCTGGACATCTTGTTGAACCAGATCCAAAAATATGCTGATATGTTAATCACAGTACAGTATTAAGGAAAGCTGGCTCTTATTCATAGGGCCTTCCACACTCAGTGACCATGCACGTTGTGCTTTTTAACAAGTAAGTTTGTGCTTATGTTCTTATTGGGCTGTCAGTATGGAGTGCTGAGGAAGCATTCTTGGCTGACAACCAGAAAAAAAAAGGTGTACAATTTTGTTAATGCAGTAGCTAAAGTTCAGCTTTAATGAGCAACCACAAACCCATGAAATGATTTCATAATCTTGTCTGAAGTACAAGAAAAAACAGGTTAAGATTGGAAGAGTTACCGTAATTGAGGATAATCATGTTGGTCGTTATGTATATAATTCCATATTGTGGTTTTTGCTGATCATCATAGTAGCTGAGCTACAGAATGTGGCTACACGGCTGAGAATAATTTTACAGGTACTGATCTCAATGACACTGCATCAAAAACTACCAGGTAATCTAGTTGTGTTTCAAGGTCCTTTTAAATAAGCTTGACCAAACTATGATTCCTCTTATGAAAATTGTTTAGAAAACTAGGTCAGTTGGTAAGTCAGATTTCTAATTCTCCTTAATATATTCATGAAGATTTGTCCAGTCTACAGAGAATCATAGAGTTAATTGATTTATTACAGGTTCTTATATAGAGCTGACAATTTATGCAGCACTTTACATATATATTGTACATTCACATCAGTCCCTAACCCTCAAGTAGCATACAATCTAAGGTCCCTAACTCAAATTCATACATACGCATATGAGGGCCAATTTAGATAGGAGCCAATTAACCTACCAGCATGTCTTTGGTGTGTGGGAACAAACCCATCCAGGAACAGGGAGAACATGCAGGCTCCATAAAGGTAGTGCCATAGTTCGAACCAACAACCCTAGTGCTGCTAAGCAAAAGTGCTAACCACTTAGCCACTGCATTGATGACATTTATGAACTTTGATTGCCAGGTTTCATAAATTGCCTGATACTCTGCAGATCAGATACATCTTCAAATATTCCGGAGAATTAACAAGTGTACCTCAGACAAAAAACTGTTTTTCTGATTTCGTCACTCTCATTATTTTGCATATTTCAAATGTAAATGTAATTTCCCACTGCATCATTATACATAGATTACTGAACCTGCCTGCTTCTTTGATCAGTTAAGCAATCAATGAGAAGAATGAAATGCAATTAAATAAATAGTTTTCTAGTAAAGGTGCTGTCCAGGCTGCCAAAAGAGTTATCTGACATTTCTAATAATACAGAAAAAAATACTTCATAAGAAAAGCCGTTATTACAGATATTGTACCATTTGTTTTTCAGGCCATAACACACATTCATAGAAAGTAGAGCAATTGAAACATTTGTTCAGTATATTGGTACTACTAACCCTGTGTATGATTCCAGCAGAGTGAAGATGTTTAATGCCGCACAGCATCTGATACAACAAGTAAGACATCCTCTCATGATCCAGTTCCATCTGAATCACCTGACATAAATTAGCGTCCATCAATTCCATTACTAGGTAACTAAGGAAAAGATTCATAATATATATATATCAGTTAAATGTGTTCTGAACATGTACCTTTATTTCCAACACCAAAAATACTATTTTGCAGTCACTGTGTGTACTGTGGGATTACAAAAACAATCAATAAAAAGCTCTCAGCTTTAGGTACAGAGATTATCAAGCATGTTTGGAAATCTCTGTGTGAGATATTCAGAGCAGAGCTCAGGAAGAGAGGCATATGAGATGCTTTTTGAAAATTCTTCTTTTAATTTTTTTTGTTAGTTAGTGGAAAGATTTAAAACTTTTGTCTGTCTGCATTTCCCCTTCCCGACAGCACATTATGGGTATAGGAAACGAGGGTAAATCTCTCCAGTTGGTACATAAAAAGAGACATTGCAAGATTAGGAAAGTATTGGATCATGTCAAGTTTTTTTTTTTTTATTGCTACCTTTGTCTTCTTGTGCCAATGATACAGATTCCTTTAATTTCAGTGTTAAAGGGATAAGTGATGTATCGTCCCACTGAGGATACAGACTGTAAATCCAGACAGATGTTCTAAACCTTCCCTATACCATCCACAACTAGATAGTTCATGCCTGATTCAAGCATCACCTACTTTAATTGAGCTATACACTGATATCAGAAATATCAGAGCTTATTACTGCACACAGAGATTTTTCAGCCTGGTAGACGGTCTGTACATCAATGTTTATACATATAGCGCCAAAAGATGGTGTATCTACTATTCTTAACTTCTGAAAAGTACAGTTGTACCCTGCAGTCAATACTGTCTTGAGTTTATCTAATAAATGAAGGTACTTTCTCAACCTCTGAAGATTGTCTTAATTTAATCAGCATTACTTACACATCCTGGAACTCTTCAAGAGACTTCTGTGGTGTAAAGACATTTAATAAACTGATAATCTAAAAGAAAAAGGGAAACAAAGTCAGGCTTACGATAAGGAGTAAGATGCAATTATAGTTTAATTTACAAAATCATTAAGCAAATGGAATTTTGATAACAACTTGCTGTAGTCTTACTGAAGAGGGGACATGGCAGAAAAGATACAGCCTTGCACATAATCATCAGAGGGTACTTGACCATGCAGACACAATCCAAATTCTGAATTATACTTTTTGTAAACCTTTTGGTTGAATATATATTTATTGAGACAAAATATTTGGGTAGAGAAAAATAAAAAGTGGAAGGGGAACAGGAGATGAGAAAACAGGAAGTATCTTTCATCAAGTACAACACAGCTGAGGAGGGGTAAGGGGGACAATGGTGGACACGAGGACTCCTAGGCAGAAGGGTAAGGGGTAGTAATTTCGACGTGCAAAAAATCTCCTAAATGAAAGGGGCTGTGAATTAGGCCAAAATGAAAGAGTGAGAACGGGGTAGACTGGGAAGTAACCTATAAAGGAATGTCATTCAGCTCAGGCCTCGCGAGTGAGGGAGTCAGGGAGTGTACCTATATAAACCATAATTTATTATGTTTTTCCCAATTATTTGTTTCCCTATCCTGCATTTCCTCCATCAGCATGATATCATTTATGTTATACACCCATAAAGTTAGTGGCGGGGTGGTTACTTTTTGTAGATATTAATCTATAGATTTCTCCATCACAACATTATTTTGTGGTAATAAAGGAACAATGGCCTAAAATATCAAACAAAGCCTATTACTATCTAAATTGCTGGATGTCTGGTGCTGACTGCTGGTGCCCATAGACAAGGGGATATCATGTCATTAGGTTTTGTAAGTGCTGATTCTTCCCTTATTGTTCTACTGGACATTTTAGAATATTTATGGCATTTGGAATGTTTTAATCTGGACATACACTACAAAGTTGATTTACTAAAAAAGTTTAGAATGTTCACTTAGCAAAGTGAATCGTAATTGTGCAAAAGACGTTTCACTTAGCTTACTGAATGAGGAGACACTGCGCTTACTTCCTACAATAATGTGCAAGCAAATACCCTGTTTTTTTATCTTTTTTTAATTTCCTTCCACATGATTGGGTATTTTTTGCAAAGTGACATTTCTCCGCTTTCATTAAAGTGGAAGTAAACAGTGCTGGTACACTTGTACTTAGGTACAAGGAATATCTCCTAAACATGCACTGTTTAGAAGGTATTCAATGTTTCTGCAGCCAGGTGGGATGGCATACTTCAGAGCTCTGTCTCACTCTGTGACACCTGTGTGCATGTGTGGTAGTGACATCATTGCGGCTCTGCAATTCAAATGCGGAAGGAAGACCAGGTGAAGCCTTGTCAGTGGTGACAGCATGCCACTGGAGGGCTTCATTTTAAGGTAAGTATTTCATAATGTGCTAATATTCTATGCATACTAGCGCATTATGCTATTACTTTGCATGGGGGTTAATGAAGCTTTACTACCCCTTCAAGTTAAGTGACAATTCCCTTTCAAAGTGCAAATTCACTCATCAATGTGAGCATGTTCTACAAATTTCTTTAAAATGGTTCTAAAGGCTCAAGATTTTTTTACCTTCGTGCAATCTATGCATGAAGGTAAAAAAATCTTCTGTGTGCAGCAGCTCCCCCAAGCTCCCCCAAATATTCACCTAAGCCCCCTCTTGATCCAGCGATGTGCACTGGAGTCTCGGCTATCCTGGGACTCCCTCTTCACATTGGCTGAGACAAAAGTGGGAGCCATTGGCTCCCACTGCTGTCATTCACAGCCAGTGAGCCAATGAGAAGAGAGAGGGGTGGAGCCAAGTCAAGGCTCCGTGTGTGAATGGACACACAGAGGAGTGGGTGCCCCCATAACAAGCTGCTTGCTGTGGGGGCATCCGACAGGAGGGAGGGGCCAGTGGAGCCTGCGGGGGACCCCAGAAGAGGAGGATCCATGCTGCTCTGTGCTAAACCACTGCACACAGCAGGTAAGTATAGACATGTTTTTTAGTTTTTTCTTAAAAAAAATAAACCTTTCACTTTATTAAAACCCAGTACAAATAGTTTCCATTTAGTAACTGCAGTTTAAGCAAACATGTATACATTGTATAGGTGAGCAAACAAAGAAATAATAGGTGCAAGGACAAATAAAAAAGTAACACTAATCACAGAAATCTTGCCAGGTACTTTGAAATGCCTAATCATTTCACCATAAAATGTTGCAAAAAAACAGCCTGGAAATCAATGATTGAGCTGAGGGTTGTTTGATACTTTAGAATATAAGAAGAATATACTTTATGGCCACTGCTGGAGGGCTGTGACTGGCAAGTGAACAAGCTTTACAAGATGTGGGCAATGATCAATGCAGTTGGTTTCATGTATGTATTTATTGACTTAATTTTTTTAAGAAATATCCTGTACAATTTCAGTACTGTTGTTTATTATGTACTTCTTTTCTTTAATTAATTTTGTCTCTATGGGCATACACTTCAAGACTTTCCCTAATGAAGCTACAATTTCAAATGTTACTAAATTGGATCTTTGTTCTTAGGGTTATACCTGAGCGATGCCTAGAGACAGCATAATCAAACAGGTAGGTCAAAGAGATTTACTAGCACGTATGAAAATTTCTATGACTGGTTAAAAACTGTTTTAACACCACTGAAAAGAGAGCAAAATATTTTTGATGCATACTGCAAAAAAAAAAAAAAAAACTGGTTAGAAGAAACAATTGTGATATGATTGAGAAATCTTTTCAACAGCATTCCAAGACACATCTCTGGTCTTCTGTGTTAAAAAAAAAAACGAAGACAACTTGCTTGTATATAACTAGCATAATGGAAATGTATTTTCTGAAGAAAATTATCACCTAATCCTATTATTACCGCTCTGAGAAAAATATTCAGGCTAAGCTAGGTATAGACATATTTTTACATCCTCATCACAAGGACACCAAATAATTGGATGTGAGAACTCAGAAAAGTCAAATTACTATTCCCTGAAGAATGATCAGCCAGAGGGTTTGCTCTGATCTAGAGGTATATATGGATACAATAGTCATAGATCATCTAATGTTTATGGCTACTTTGTAGCAAATCTGTCATACATGAAGAAAAACAAGTGTCGGAATATAGTGGTACAGCACATTTAAAAATAACGTTTACATTTTAATTTATGCTGCTCTTGTGTAGAAATTAACAATGGATCATCAGTGGGTTTGTTGGCTATTATTTAAAGTTTCAACACTTTTTATATCTTGCATGGGCATCAGGGACTATAGGGGATGTAAAATTTTCCATAATGGGGTCATAGACAGAAATACAATTTGATAGAAGGCTTAACTTTTCCAGAAATGTATTGGATGGTGATGGGCTTCAATGCTCAAATTATGAATAAATGTTAAGTTTCACACTGGCTAATAAAACTATGTGTTATCTTTTTTGTAATTGACTTCCAGATGTGCCAGTTTTCATTAAGATAATTTTTGCCACACACATACAGTGGGGCAAAAAAGTATTTAGTCGGCCACCAATTGTGCAAGTTCTCCCACTTAAAAAGATGAGAGAGGCCTGTAATTGGCATCATAGGTAGACCTCAACTATGAGAGACAAAATGAGAAAAAAAATCCAGACAATCACATTGGCTGATTTGGAAAGAATTTATTTGCAAATTATGGTGGAAAATAAGTATTTGGTCAATATCAAAAGTTCATCTCAATACTTTGTTATATATCCTTTGTTGGCAATGACAGAGTTCAAACGTTTCCTGTAAGTCTTCACAAGGTTGGCACACACTGTTGCTGGTATGTTGGCCCATTCCTCCATGCAGATCTCCTCTAGAGCAGTGATGTTCTGGGGCTGACGCTGGGCAACACAGACTTTCAACTCCCTCCAAAGGTTTTCTATGGGGTTGAGATCTGGAGACTGGCTAGGCCACTCCAGGACCTTGAAATGCTTCTTACGAAGCCACTCGTTCGTTGCCCGGGCGGTATGTTTGGGATCATTGTCATGTTGGAAGACCCAGCCACATTTCATCTTCAATGCCCTTGCTGATGGAAGGAGGTTTGCACTCAAAATCTCACAATACATGGTCCCATTCATTCTGTCCTGTACATGGATCAGTCGTCCTGGTCCCTTTGCAGAGAAACAGCCCCAAAGCATGATGTTGCCACCCCATGCTTCACAGTAGGTATGGTGTTCTTTAGATGCAACTCAGCATTCTCTCTCCTCCAAACACGATGAGTTGTGTTTCTACCAAACAGTTCTATTTTGGTTTCATCTGACCATATGATATTCTCCCAATCCTCTTCTGGATCATCCAAATGCTCTCTAGCAAACTTCAGACGGGCCCGGCTATGTACTGGCTTAAGCAGGGGGACACGTCTGGCACTGCAGGATCTGAGTCCCTGGCGGCGTAGTGTGTTACTGATGGTAGCCTTTGTTAAGTTGGTCCCAGCTCTCTGCAGGTCATTCACTAGGTCCCCCTGTGTGGTCCTGGGATTTTTGCTCACCGTTCTTGTGATCATTTTGACCCCACAGGGTGAGATCTTGCGTAGAGCCCCAGATCGAGGGAGATTATCAGTGGTCTTGTATGTCTTCCATTTTCTAATTATTGCTCCCACAGTTGATTTGTTCACACCAAGCTGCTTGCCTATTGCACATTCAGTCTTCCCAGCCTGGTGCAGGTCTACAATTTTGTTTCTGGTGTCCTTCGACAGCTCTTTGGTCTTCACCATAGTGGCGTTTGGAGTGTGACTGAGGTTTTGAACAGGTGTCTTTTATACTGATAACAAGTTCAAACAGGTGCCATTGATACAGGTAATAAGTGCAGGACAGAGGAGCCTCTTAAAGAAGAAGGTACAGGTCTGTGAGAGCCCGAAATATTGCTTGTTTGGAGGTGACCAAATACTTATTTTCCACCACAATTTGCAAATAAATTCTTTCCAAATCAGCCAATGTGATTGTCTGGATTTTTTTTCTCATTTTGTCTCTCATAGTTGAGGTCTACCTATGATGCCAATTACAGGCCTCTCTCATCTTTTTAAGTGGGAGAACTTGCACAATTGGTGGCCGACTAAATACTTTTTTGCCCCACTGTATGTGTGTGGCAAAAATTATCTTAATGAAAACTGGCACATCTGGAAGTCAATTACAAAAAAGATAACACATAGTTTTATTAGGTGAAACTTAACATTTATTCATAATTTGAGCATTGAAGCCCATCACCATCCAATTTCTGGAAAAGTTAAGCCTTCTATCAAATTGTATTTCTGTCTATGACCCCTTACATCCCCTATAAGTGGGAGAACTTGCACAATTGGTGGCTGACTAAATACTTTTTTGCCCCACTGTATATACACAAATATTATAGACTGGATCTAATCAGTTTCTCTACACAGAAAAGTTTTGGAGACTGACACAATTTTTTTAATTAAAAATAATAATGAAGTTACACCAATAAATGAACAGTTGAATACTGCATATAATCCTTTTTTATTTTCAATAATAGTTCATTTTTGTGAGCAAGCTTTTGAGATCACATCTTTTACAAGCTTGTCTAGAAATATTATTTGTAGTGCAAATAAGAAGGTGTAACGTATTGTACTGTTTTGTTTTATTACATGTGCACTAATACTGCTGCAGTCACCACAGCATGCTTTTCAGTCCACTGAACAAGCTTGTTCAGTAAATCCCTGTGTTTGCTGTATGTTTACAAAGGCTAAGCATTTGTTTTCTTCTGCATGAATTGAAAGTCTGAAAATGCCTTCAGCATTCAGTGTATCAATTGTTTGTTCGCTGAGTTCTTAACAGCCTTACCTGTATATTTTAATAAATCCCTATAAACCTGGTTCTAGTACAAGATGTGCCCGATGTCTTAATGTGATCTACTGCAAACAATGAAAGAGGTGTAGCAACATAAAAAATGCATACAACAGATTCAGTCAGTAAAACAAGACAGGACTGTACATTCTGCTCACATAATTACCCGCACATATCTTACACTGGCCAAAGACAGGTAATCCTTGCAGATGGCTAGAAGGTCAGCCCATTCGGAAATGAAACCTCTGCAATGCTACCTGCTGGCTCAATGAAATTTTGCCAAGGTGCATAGAAAACTCTGGGATCATGATCTATAGCAGGCTGTTATTTTTTTTAGTTTTTTTAGAATGGGAAAAAGCTGGCAGCATGCTGGAGATCAAGACCGTTGCTCTTACACAGAGTTCAGAAGTCCATCTCAAGATCTCCAGCAATCCAACACAACCGCTGCATAGTGCTCCAATCAACAACAATCAGGCTCCTTGTGCAACATTTTTGATTAAAAAACTTTGTGTGGAGGTGTGCCGGACCACTGGAAATACAGGCCACTGTGTGAGCACAGTAACTAGGCCTGTACCTAGTCCTGGGAAAATAATGTCATAATGTCTCCTCTCTGCCAGTGATCACTCACTAGGATTGTAAACTTTTGGTGCTATATAAATCCTGTATAATAATAATAATTCTATAACCTATTTTTGGCAGCTCACAAGTCAAGAGGCAACAGCATGTCAAACACTAACAGTAGACCCTGAAAAATAGATATTCAAAAACCAAATTTTACCAATGTTTGCAATTTGTTTATTTTTTGGATATCAAGCAAGTCACAGAAATATTAATGAAGGACAGAAAACTTACATTTTTATGATTTACACACTTCATTAGGACCAGCTCCCTGTATGCCCGTTTGGCATGTGTTTGATTTTGAAATGGTCGGCTGAGTTTCTTAATGGCCACATTTCTATCAAGGACAGCATCATAAGCAGCACTGAAAGGCAAGATACACACATGAGAATTGCAAGGCCTGGTAGTAATATTTCTAAGAAAATCATTCATTACACCCCATAAAACTGCAATCCCTTCTCGGTTAGGTACATTGATCAGGTTCTGTGATTGATAAAATAGTATTACAACTTGATCACAGAGAGGTTAGGACAAAGATTAAAGAAAACTGCGCATCAATTTGAAATCTGCTGATGTCCTGCAGCAGACGTTAGATGTAGAGAAACAAGTGATTGAATGAGTCATATGATCTCTCATCGTCTCAGTCAGCAGCTGCTTTGTCTTGAATTTCTGCCTCTTCCAGGTTACCATTAAGTAGAAGAGACAGAGGTCAATGCTGCCTGTATTACCGCTGTATCTTTGCTGTTTACAAAGATAAAAAAAGTCACAGCCTTTGTGAAAAATACACACAAAATGGCAGGAAGTTAAAAAAATAAAACCAAGCACCTTATATTTTTAGTTAGAGAGTATTTGCCTGACAGCATAAATATGACAAAAAAAAATCACAAAAAAATGCAGAAATTTTGCAATTACATATTTGCATATTTGTGTGCCTACTGTTAACTAACTCATGGGATACACATTTGAAATGATCCTAAATACATTTTAGTTGATGCATCCAGTATGCATTTAAATTGATCTAGTTACAGTAACAAAATTATGTTTACATTGAATTATAATGGTATTATTTAAATGCTGTTGCTATCGTGAAATAATCGATATATTAGGTATAACCATTAAAATATATTTAGCAAGAAACAGGAAAAATATATTGTTCAACTGACTAAACCTTTCTAAAATAAGACCCTGCATTATCATGCTCACCTTTCTTTTTTAAGACAAAAAAAAAAAAAAAAAAAAAACCATAAAATACCTACCTTTATTGCAGAACCCCTTTCCTTGGAAGAATGGCCATATGGTCTTAGCTATAAGGAGAATATATTAACGGCTTCTATTCTTTAGCAGGAATCATATGACTAAAGGCCTAGGCAATTAGTCATGTGACTAGATGCTGTGGGAACCCAGCAGTAATTTTAGCACTTGTTAACTTTTCTACATATGATATAGACAGGATTGCAGGGTAGGGGTAATTGAATATATTTACTTTTTTTTTTAATTCTTTATTTACTCGGACAAAATTACAGAACAATTTCATGAAACACTCACAACTTGAATAACCATACAGATTTCTGAGAAGTAGTCTGCAGGTATTGAGTAGGCAATGAGGTCTGGCAAGTTTGCAGCTGTCAAGCTATATAGTTGGGTACCTGGGAAATGCAAAGTCTGTTACCATACTACCCTTCACAATGGATGGCAGTGGAGGTTGCAGTAGTGAATTTGGAATAATCTTGTTCGGCCTTCAAATTTTTTGTTGAAGTCAGAAAAAAGGAAAGGGAAGAATTGGGGAATACTATGCAAAAATAGGATAAAGTAAAAAAAGGAAAGGAAAGGAAAGGAGAGGAAAGGAAAGGAAAGGAAAGGAAAGGAGAAGAAAGGAAAGGAAAGAAAAGAAAAGGAAAGGAAAGGAAAGGAAAGAAGAGGAGAGAAGAGGAAAGGAGAAGAAAGGAGAGGAAAGGAGAGGAGAGGAGAGGAAAGGAAAGGAGAGGAGAGGAGAGGAGAGGAAAGGGAAAAGGGAAGGAAAGGAGAGGAGAGGAGAGGAAAGGAAAGAAAAAGAAAAGAAAGGAAAGGATATATTTATTTGTAACTACATCTTGGGACATTCACAATACAGGTTGTCCATGAAACCTCAATTGCATACGTGAACACACTACTTTTTTTGGCATAAATCGAAGAACAGATGTAAGCAAATGATTTTTGTGTACCAAAAAAAATGTACATTTAGAAAGCCTAGTGCTTTAAAGCACAGCTCCAGCCATATTTTTTTTTCGATTTTGATAGAGCAAGAAAGGAATACAGCCTTTGTCGGCTGTCTATTTCTTATCTGTTTATTAAAGATATATTTTTAGTAAAGAAATTCTAATTGTTTTATTGCTGTCCTTGTGAAGTGTTTACTCCTTCAACTGCCACAATTCTTGCACTGGCATCACAGGGACAGGAAGTGACAGAAAATTTCCACACAGACAGAAATTAAAACCTGTCAAAATTCTGACTCTTACTGATAGTCGAAGGGCTGGCTTTAAACAAACCTCTTCACTTTATCCTTAATGAGCAAGGTGACACTTCCATCATAGTGCTCAACATGTTTAAAGGGAATGTGTAGTCTTTTCAAAGTTATCATTTGCCCATTAAGTGCCTAGGCTCTTTATTTTTCTGCTAAAGTCTCATCTGAAAAGTTGTTAAGAAGAGAGGCAGAATCACTGAAAATTGAGTACTTACTGCCTCTAATGGCTAATTACAAATCCTTATATTTAATACAACAATATGAAAGAGCAAACATGAAAAATATGAAAGCTACATGTAAAATTAAATTAAAATAAACACCGCAATAGCAAGTCTTCCCTTTAAGTAACATCTTTGGTTTCAAACTTATAATGTATCAAATGCAGAAGGGACAAGCATGACGCAAATGCTGGGAAACTGCTAAAAGTTGCATGTGGCTCATAAAACTCTAGTTGGGTGCCACTGGAACCACTGTAGCAAAATATTACACTTTATATCATCCGTAACATTTATGGACATGCCACTATCTTATTTTTAGCATTATTTATTGAAAAATAATGAGATTTTCTGCTTTCTCAACACATTTCAAGATTATAAATGAGAATACCAGAAAGGATCTTCAGATGATCAAATACATTTGTATTATGCTTTAAACTAGAGTTTTTGTCTTGTCATCTGCATTGCATGAAATATAAACATATTTGTTTCTGAATTTTCAAGAGCACTAAAGCGAGTCAAACATCATTACTCATATGCAATAAATACAGCTGCCTAAAATGAAATCTATGTTTTTATGTTAAATCTTGCATTGTAATTGTCATTTGGATAGTTTTTTGTTATACTGAATCTAGTGCAAGTTATGCAGTTAATTCTGAAACTCTAATTTAATAAAATACTATAATTAGCTCATTTAAATGCAATTAGGACATTTTTACCCAGTACGACTACCAATACTATCTGACTGGTAACAATACCCTAAATAACTTAAAGGGTAACACCACTTGTGGGGAAAAAAATAGTAAAGACAAAAATAATAATATAGCATATACAATTGCTACTCAAGTCATATTGTAATATAATGTTATTAAAAAGTACCTTTCCTTTGTAATCTGCAGTGCTGTAATTTTCTGAAAGATGCAATGCAGTATGACAACCTGGAGGCGTTCTGTACACAGATGGTGTAAGGAACGCCCCCCAGAAATGTAATTTCCTGCTTGTGTGATTGGATTACTTATTTTCCCAGAAGTCTGCATTAACCCCTTAGTGATGAAGGGTAAAACAAATGTTAATGCTTGAACACAATTTTGCAAATTTGATTAGATTATACCTTATTTTTTTTATGACAAATCGGGCTTTTCTGTAGTAAATGGTAATGGATATCTCCTGATTTTTTTTTTAATATCAAAGGAAAACTGGCCCAAAATAGTAAAATAAAATAATTTTTGGAATTTAGCTGTATATGTCTTAGTATTACCATAATTTACCACCAAAGAACAACCGAAAATAAATTCTCCTGCTCCTAATGATCACAGTAATCCCCCATGTGTGTATGTTAGTTGTTGTTTGTACCCATAGTATGACCCAGAAAGAATGGTGTGCACTTTGCTTTTTTATCTTACCTAAAACACACTGACACTGACACTAACTGACACCAATTTAAAAAGTTAAAGAAAAATATTTCTACCCAAAATATACTGACCCTGACCTTTGACCCAAACTTCTAACCCTGATCTTGACACCTAACACTTAACCCTGGCACTGACCTAGACCCAACCTTGATTTAACTATTTTTAAGTTTTGTTTTCTTTACACACTTTTGTTTATATACATCTTCATCTCCTGCAAGGAGAGAAACATACAATGCATCTTTCTATCCATTCAGGAGAGAAAGTAATTACAGGGGTGGACTGCACAGTGACTGATCATTGTGATATCGAATCAGAGGCTATCACAGCGATCAGGTGATCTGGAACCAGGAATCCTGGGTGCCGATTGTCCTGGCTCCCAGCACAAAGACAGATACACAGATATTTGGCCCCACATATAAAGGCCCACTTCAGCTTATTATTCAGAATACATTAAACAGCTATTTCTTCAGAATAACAAAATATAGGAATTTATTTGCAACAAAATTTTTTATTATTCCTGCAATGTAAATAGATCTCCCAGAGAAGAATGATTTTTCTTAACCACTTCAAGTCCAAACACTTTCAACCCCTTCCAGTCCAGGCCAATTTTCAGCTTTCAGCGCTATCACACTTTGAATGACAATTGCGTGGGCATGCAACACTGTACCCATATGAATTTTTTTAGCATTTTTTTGAGACAGATAAAACTTTATTTTGGTGGTATTTATTCACCACTGGGATTTTAATTTTTTTGCTATATGAATGAAAAAGGCCAAAAATTTAGAAAAAATGTTTTTGCAAATAAATAATCTTTCCTCATAAATCTTGGCCAAAATGTATTCAGTTACCTTTTTAGCAAAAAAAAAAAACCCAAATTAGTTTATAACCAAAAATTATAATTTTTCTAAAAAACTTTTTACATTTTTATTTTTTTTATATTATTATTTATGTTTTTTTTTTACATACTGTCACCCTAGCAGTACAGTGTCACCATAGTGACACTGTACTACTTGTGGGGGGTTATGAAGTTTTTTTTAAACTGTTTTTTTTTTTTTAAACTGATTGCTTTTACATCCAGAAAGGCTGTAAAAGCAATCATTTCTCCTTCTCTATGGCTGCATTCTTGCAGCCATTGAGAAATACTGTGTGAGCTGTGATTGGTCGCAGCTTGTCACATGGTACAAGGCTGTTGTGAATAGCCTTGTACCATGTGACCTCTGTGATCATTCACAGATTT